GAATTCGAATCGACCTAGCTAGCCATGTACTCTAAGGGGTACATTCCCTTATTCAAATTCATTCCCAACCGTGCGGCGCGTACAGTTACGAAACTGTTCCCGCCAAAACCCTCCTGCCTGTGGCTGCCCGATGCTGTCTGCTCCGACGGTCCAGATGCATCCCAACTGTCTGACGCTTCGAGTCAATTCTGACCATTCGCATTCGTTCTCGTTACTGCATGCTTCTTTAGCTGCGGTCGGGAGTGCACAGTAATGTTTGACTCATTACTATTCATAACACTTTTCAAGGCTAAGATCCTGAGTACGAATATTGTAATAGCGGAAGCGTTTAGTGAACTTGTTGAATCACCTTGCACTAGTTTGTGAGAGCAAGATAGATTGATTATAGCAAAGTAATACAAAGGCTTTTATAAGATTACAAGGAATATGAAAAGGTGCAGCTAACTGTTTTACTGTTGCTGTTGCGGTTCGATACAGTGACGACTCGGGCAACTGTTTAATACCGAGTCAGTTATTTGTCCTTGCTGTCGCGCTGTATTTCATCGAATCAAAGGTCGCTAACCTTTGACCTTTACGTAACCTCCAGCTGTTACTTTCTCTCAACCTCCTCGGTTGACTCGCCGTTGCTTTGCTGTGATTCGCCTCGTTTGTAGTCTATTGTTTCGACACAACAGGAGCGTTGAATTACTTGTTTTCATCACTCCCCTTCGCTTTTGGAGTGTCGCTGCTGGTGACATGGCTTTGTCCAGTCAGTAGCATGCAGTATTCGAACTTTTGCTTTCCGAGTTTCTTGGTCAAGTAGTCGGCTGCCATCTCGGATGTAGGACAGTAGGATAGCTCGTGTCTCCCCTTCTCGATTTCGTCTTTCACGAAGAAGTACCGGAGGGCAATGTGCTTCGTTCGATTCTAGAATCCGTTCTTGTTCGCTATGCGAATGGCCAATTGGTTGTCGCAGAACAGGGAGAAGCTGGGTAACCGAGCCAGCTTTGCTTCTTCCAGTAGTTCGTGAAGGTACAATCCTTCTTTGGTGGCTGAGCAGAGTGCGATATATTCTGCTTCAGCTGAGGAGAGAACGATTATTTCTTGTTTGCACGACTGCCACGAGATAGGTCCGATAGGATCGAGTCGGTAGATGTAGCCGGTGCGCGATCGTCTATTGTCGGAGTCGTTGGCCTGATCACCATCCACGTAGCCGATTAGCTTAGATGTAGAGGTTCCGCTTTTGTGGTAGGTTAGGCCGATCGTCGGGGTGCTGATAAGGTAGTAAAGAGCGCGGTTGAGCTCGGCCATGTGATCTGCTTCAGGCTTCTTGCGGTAGGTGACGAGTTGGCTCGCTGAGTACGATAGGTCCGGTCGGCAGGTAACGGCTGCGAAGAGCAGACACCTCAGCTTTCGCTTGTAGTCGCGTATGCCGGCGGGTTTGAGCAGAGCGGAGGTTTCCTTGCGATTTCCGTCGGTGTAGCGGTACGGTGTGGTGATGGCGGCTGGGGTTTGTCCGTAGTGCTTGGCGATGGTGTCAGCGTATTTTGCGGCGTTGAGGTAGACGGCGTTCTCTCCGTCTTGAATGTTGAGTCCCAGATATTGTGTGATGGTTGAAGAAATGGTGAGTGTGAGGTCCCGCTGCAGCTCCCCTTCAAACCAGGTTGTAATGCCGTCGATTGAACCAATGTAGAGTAAATCGTCAATGTAGACGATGAGCAGGTTGTAGTCGGCGCCTTTCGTGAGTCGGTAAATCCCTTAGTCGTGCGGTAGTTGGCGGAATCTGATGCGGATTAGTCGAGCGTGTAGGTATTGCTGCCACAGCCTTGGAGCTTGCTTGATGCCGTTTATAGGGACTTCAGCAATTGACAGACTTGGTTGGGATCTGCGTTAGAGCCGTGCGGTTGCTCGACGAAGATCTCAGCATCGACGGGAGCGTACAGGAGGAGAATCCGCACTGAGGTGTGTCGGCTGACTGGCGCGAAGGTTTCGGTGAAGTCTCGTCCGTGCTCTTAGTCGAAGCCGCGTACACACAATGCTCCTTAATCTTGTCGATCGTTCCGTCAGCTTTTGTCTTCACGCGGAAAACCCATTTCCCGGTGAGGATGGTTTTGTTGCGTGCCACTCCAATAGGTACGACTTTCCAGGTGTTGCGTTCTTCCAGCGCTTTTAACTCTCTGTCCATGGCTTCGCGCCATTTTTCCTTGTGCTCCCCCCCAACAGCCTGCTAAACTGTGGCAGGCTCCTTAGGTGGCGCTGCTCCGTGGACTGGGGTGACAAGTCCCAGTATCTGCAGCCCGCTTTGTGTGTAGCGAGGTAGATTTGCCTCCTCGGGATAGACTGCTTCCGGTCCCGCTTCTTGATCGGATAAGAAATTGGGCCCTATGCGTTTTGAAACGTCGGTGTTGACTGGCTGGGGTGTAACGTAACCATTGTCGGCAAGGTCGTAGTAGACTTCGGCGTTGATGCTTTCGCGAGGGTTGTACGTCAACCGAACAGTAGGGGAGAGGTCCGGCTCCCAGTCAGCTTCATCCGCTGCCGAGGCGAAGGCTCGGTCACCACGAAAACCGCCTGTGGGGTCTCGTTCTTCTTCCAAGTTGGCTAGGTATGTTGGGAGGTTGAGTCGTTTGTAGAAAATCACGTCACGTGCTGGTACTGTTTCCTTCGAGTGGATGTAAAAAATCTTCCATGCGTTGTAGTGTTTTTTTATGCCCAGGTGTAGTCCCCATTGTACGCGTTGGGAGAATCAGCCGGTTCGTGGAGCTGGGGGTCGGTACTGTACCATGCAGCCGAACAGTCGTAACATTTTTGTGCTGCCCAATTTTCTGCTCCACAGCAGGTGCGGTGATGCGTTGTTCGGGAGCGATGATAACGAGAGAAAGTTGTGCAGCATTACGGCGTGGTCCATCACCTCGGGCCACTGGTGGTTGGGTAGCTGCATACCACGTAGCAGCTTGTGCATGGTGTTCTAAAGGGTGCTGTTCATTCTTTCTGCCACGCCTTGTTGCTGATGGGCGTAGAGAAGCGAGATGAGTCGTTTGACGCCTCCCTCTGCCAGGTACTGCGTGAATCGCTGTGAGCGGTATTCTCCTCCTCCGTCTGAATGAAAGCTTTTCAGCTTCACTCCTGATTCCCTTTCTGCTACTAAAAGCCAGGCGACGAAGGCTTCGAAAGCCATGTCTCGGCTCAGAAGGTTGAGGTGCCAGACGTATCGGGTGGCGGCGTCGATGAATGTGATGACGTAGTTGTAGGCTCCTTGTCCGCTTTTACGGTTGAACAATATGTCACTGTAAACCTTCTCTAGTGGTGGGTATGCAGGTGTGCTCGGGTTGTGGTGAGAGACGAACGGCTGATGGGGTAAGTCGGCTTCAGGGCAGGTGAAACATGTTTCGCGAACTCGTTGAAGTTCTCTACCGTCGTGTGATAGCAGTGAGTCCTTGTCGAGTACCCCAGCTCTTATCGCGTTGTTTAATGTTGTGTTGCTCGGGTGTCCCATCCTTGCATGCCAGATTGATTCGCTGGCGCGATGTCCGGGTGATCGTCTGTATAGGTTGGAGTTGGAATAGAAGCCGGCAGTGAAGTTGGCACTCCGTGGACTTCGCGCGGAGTGGGAGTCAGCGGTTGCGCAGGAGTCGGTGGCATGTTGTTGATCAAGACTTGTGCTGTCGAAGGGCCTGCGATTGGTGGTGGCGATGGTGTTGTCTCTGCTGCTGCCAGTGTTGTTTCTGTTGCTGTTGATGTTGTTTCTGTTGATGGCAATGTTGTCTCTGCTGCTGTCGATGTTGTTTCTGCTGCTACCGATGTCGTCTCTGCTGCTGCCGATGTTGTTTCTGCTGCTGCCGATGTTTGTTAGATTGTTACTAACGCTCTCGTTCGTTCTGCTTAAGGTATAGTGTGCGAGTACCAGAAGCCTCCAGGACTGAAGTCAGGGTCGAGATCTGGCGGGTGTGTCCAAGAGGTGAAGTTGACGATGACGTCGCTGTCGGCGGTGCCTTGGTCTGGAACGCAGTCAAGAACGAAGACGTTGTTCTTCAAGACTGCTTTGCCGATGTAGAGTCCACCCTTCCCATGGCAAGGAAGGGTGCACCACAATGGGCCTTGCGCATGTGGCAAAGGTTGATCCTTTTACTCAATGACATGGCACAAACAACGGCATAAAATGCTGTGCATGCAATATGTTATCCATACCTGTCATGTCATAACTGGTTGCAATTCCAACGCAAGAGTTGAGTTGGACTTCGGATGTTTTTTATTGTCTATATTTCCAACCAGCGGTGAGGGCCTTGTCGACTCACTTTGTATAAAGGTGTTCTGATTGGTTGGCTTGCCAACCAGTCCATTTCCCCGCTTTTCAACCAGTTCATTTCCCTTTCCTCTTCCCAACCCAGGTTCAATGTATCGAGACCTTGGATTGGTTGAGTATCGAGATGTTACACTCCTCCCCCTCTAGCTGGCAACGCCCTCGTTGCCGTGGGGTGGCAACATTTGGCAAATTTACAGGCGCGACTCGGGAAAACGGGGATTGAGACACAAGTGTCCCCACAGGAATGTTCCCTTTGTAGCAAACTTAGCGGGGTCAACAGCCATACATCTCTTCAATTACTGTACAGCTAATGCCCGTTAGAGCCCCTCCCGGTTGCCTTGTGAAGGGGGTCTGTAAGCTAAACTAACATATCGTATGGGGTTCGTACGTTTCATTAGGCTTTATCCGTGCTTCAAAACTGAACATGGTAACCATCCTTTTTGTCTGTTTTGCAACGGTAATGGTTGGCACTCCTTCTCATTAATGTGTGTTACTGGTTACTTAACGATTGCAAGAACAATGAACCAGGCATCCTCATCAAATGTTCAACTTAGTTCAAAAGATTCAAGACACAGGACACCACCAATCACACACTCCCACATGGCCCCCCAGGAACAAAGTCCACAAATAACGAAACACACACAAATGTGCACCAGGAGTGAACACTCGTGCACAGCAAGATGCCTTCGGTGCCTTGCAGGGTGGGCTCAAACACCACTCACAGGCGCATCCATTCCGCCGCGTCAACATACCCGCCCATCGCGGCGCTAACACCGGCGTCCAGCAGCTGCTGACGGCGGGAAGGCTGGGTCATCCAGCCAGGCAGCACTCGGCCGCGCGGACGCGGGGTGTCGGGCGCGGGTGTAGCGCCCGGGGTGCGCACGGCCAGAGGGGCCACGTTGAGATTAAAGGCCGGGCTCGCCCGCTCCATCCTTGCGATGATAATCGGGTAACGGATGTCGAATAGGTGGCAGAGGTCGCGCGGCGTGATACTGGTGGCGCGAGCATAGCCGATGAGCATCTCGCATGCCGCCTGGGCAGTGCGCCGCGCTTCACGGCCCACGGGATCGGCATCTTCGTATACGGCCTGCATGGTGGTCGGCGCCTCCCACAACTCCACCACCATGCCCGTTTCCGGCTCCGTCGTCGTCTGTTCCGCCGCGTGCTCGGCGCACGTCAGCTCACCGTCGTCGATGGCGACATACTCAGCCGCGGTCATCGCACCATTCCCGAGCCCCATCCCACTGATGTCGGGATAGGCGGACGGGGTGGGCTCGTCGTCGTGCACGTGGGTCAAGTCCATGGACCAGGAAAGTGGGAGACAACCCATGCGCCACCAGCACCGCTGGATGGTGCGCGCACCGACGCTCGTCCACTCGTCCGACAGCCACGCCAACACGTCGCGCAGGTTCGGGCGGAACCGCGCGACGGTGCTTGTCGCTCTGTCCGCGTTCCACAGAGCCGTGAAGGCCCGCAGCCAGTGCTCGCGGTAGCGGGCCTTGGCATTGGCAATGATCCCCTGGTCAAGGGGCTGGGTGAAGGCCGTGGTGTTCGGCGGTAGGAAGACCAGACGGACATTGCTCATGCAAGTCGTCCGCATGCCGCAAATAATCTCGCTCCACGCGAACTCGCTCTTGAGCATGTGGGAGCTTGCGTTGTCGAGTAAAATGATGATGTGGCGTCCCTCCGCATACATGGCAGCATTGAGCTGCGAGATGAAGTGGGTGAACAACTGTGGGCGTGGAAGGGAGGGAAGGGGATAGTGCAAGAACAGCAAACTTATAAACCGCGCACTTACACAAAGGAAACACCACCGCACATTAAAAAACATAATCCCAACCTCACCGGTGCAGTCATCCACCCTTAAACGTTGTGACGCCAGTAGCAAAGGGCCTCGGGATCGTAGTCCGGGCGAAAATCGTGCGGGCGCTTCGCCTTGCTGATGACCAACGGGCGGAACGCGTGGCTCCCGTCCGCATTGACGAGGAACGCCATGGTAAGGCGTTCCTTCGACACCTTGCGCCCTAGAATACGGCCATTGCTGTACGTCCAAAGGGCGGTTTCGTCGAGGTTGAACGTGTCGCGCGGACTGGCCGAGAGGTGCATAAGTAGTTGCGGGAGCTTCTTCCGGGCGTCGCGCACTGCGGCCATGTCCGCGCTGGCCGCCTCGCCGACTGATGCACGGCACCTCACCCCCTGGCGCCGCAACGCACGGCGCACCCAGCCGATAGAGCAACGAAATGTGGGCAGAATGCCCATGTTCCGCGCCATGGTGGCGACATGGTCGCGGATGGTTTGCAGCGTCAGCGGTACGCCTGTGGGCCCGGCGTTTGCGATCCACCGTGCCATGGCCTGCTCCAGCTCCGACAGACTTGGTTGTCGCCCGTCGCCACGACAGCCCAGCGATCGGCGGTTTTCAAAATGCGCCCGACAGTGGAGCGGTCCGGGCAAAGGCCATACTGGGAGTAGCACCACCTCGCAAGGTCAACGTGACGAAGACGAGGGTTCTCTACGTGATGCGTGCATATCGCGCGCTTAATGTGAAGCGGGAGCTGCTCACGGCGGTGGAAACGAGGCATGGTGAGAGGCGGGGGTCTGTGATTGCGATGCAGAATTGGATTTGTTGTGTTCATTTTAACTTAGGATGGCGTGCGCTCTGATGCACGCGTGGGGCCTGTTCTGTGTGGCTGTTGGTAGTCGCGGGGGCGATGTTCGTTCCATGCATCTGTCTTGAAGGACCGCATGTTTAGTTTGGTAACCACACGATGGAAAGGGTGACGTGGTGTGCCCGAACAATGTCTGGCTGATAATGCGCTTGTACCCTACAAGTGTAGACTACGCGTGGCAGTGTGCACCTGCCCACCTGTCTGTTACATGCACCATGAACCTCGCTTAGGTGGCATGGCAGTCGGGCGAATGCATTCACGAAACCCCTTACGTTCCGTACTCACATTTCACCTGTCTGACTTATAGCCTAGAAACAAGGCAAACCAGGGTCGGCCTGCCTTGTTCGGGACTGCACGTGCAAAGTTGGCCGCAGCGCGTGTACTGTATCCAGCCATCCAGGTGCCTGTACAGTGGGAGCAACTAGCAGGGGTTGCAAGCTCGGGTTGCAAGGCAAATTCGCGTGCACTGGTTGGGCATCAAGTGTATTCTCCTTTCACAATGTCAGTCGGATCGCCAATCCATCGGCTAGCTGAGGAGCTTCTCTCTCGGATATATTATTTTTTTGTTCTACCTGATGGGCAATTGCAACACACACTTGTCTCCAAGCAATGGCATCGCGTCGCGTACCGCACGCAGTACGAGCTCCACTTGCTCAACAACCTCCAAATGGAGCCGCGTCGCTTCATTCAACTTCTGTCTTCGTTTCCTAATCTCAAAAAGCTAGTCCTACACTCTGGCAGCCTCACCTCCACCACAGACTTTTTATTCTCGCACCTCGTTAGCACGTGTCAACAGTTGATCCAACTTCGTGTCGAAACTATGTCACGTAGAACTATCGTGGAGATGTAACAGAGAAGAGCCTCGTTCTGCTGTTTGAAAGGTGTACATGGCTTGAAGATCTATATCTGTACTGCTTGGCGCGTGCTGCCATTCCCACGTGAATCAACCGCCTGAGGACGTGGGCTCAATCGACTTTCATCGGTGCGATCAGAGGCGATCAAAAACTTCGAGGAAGGCGGGAAGCAGATTTCAGGCAATCAGGGGCAATCAGCTGATCGCGATCAGCTGATCGCGCCAACTCAATCAACCGCCTCAAAAAGCCCGATCAGACCCGATCAAACACAATCAGCCCCAATCACTTGATTGCATGTGATCGGCGACCTGGGCGACGTACGCGAAATGTAACACGCCTTGCCATGAGGTCTCGAAAATCCTTGCGAAAACACCTAGATCGGCGAGAACTGTGTGTTGGGACATGATGTTGGCGACATTACGACGATACTGAGATTCGTCCGTGTCGCCAAAGTTGGGATGCAACTACCAGGTAATGGGCCAACAGTTTTCATGCAAGCGCGCGAAACATTCGAGGAAAATCATGTCTGATCGGGCGGCGCGAGAAAAACGATAACAAGCAATCCGATCCGACCCGAACTGATCAAAGTCGATTGGTCCTACGTCCTTACTTTGCTCAAACACCTGCACCTCGTAACAAGCGCCACGCGTCTTCCCGACACACTGACTGTCAGATTTATATGACATAGCTACTGTAGGCTATAGTGGGGTAGCACATATGGGGTACAGTTTTCTAGGGTTTGCATTTGTACCCAACTTTCCCTTAGTCAATTCATTCCTCGTTTCTTCTCATGGTATCGAGCAGGTTCCCTAGTGGGAACGATTCCTAGGGCCCACCACCACGAATTTTTTTTTTTCCTGCCCGGAGCGCGCTTCGCTCCGACCCGAGTCGCGCCCTGTGTGCTCTCCCTACCGTCGCACCCTCGCTAGGCCCCTCACGGCCCCGTCGCGTCGCCCTTAGCGACCCTCTCACGGCTCCCTAGCGCCGCCCTTACGGCTCGTCGCGCCGCCCTTACGGCCCGTCGCGCCGCCCCTACGGCCAGTCGCGCCCGTCGCGCCGCCCTCACGGCCCCTCGTGCCGCCCTTACGGCCCGTCGCGCCCGTCGCGCCGCCCTCACGACCCCTTGCGCCGCCCTTACGGCCCCTCGCGCTACCCTTACGGCCCCCCCCCCCCCGCGGCCCCCTTCGGCCCCTCCCGTCGCCAGTCGGCCCCTTACGCCCCCCCCCCTCGCGGCCCCTCGAGCCGCCTTCCGCGGCCTCCTCACGGCCTGTCGCCGCCCTCGACGGCCCCTTGTGGCACCCTTCACGGCCTCTCCGCCGCTCTTCGCGGCCCCTAGCGGCCGGCAGCCGCCGTCCCTGAGGCAGCAGCCGCAGCCGTCTCTGCAGCAGCAGTCGCCACAGCTTCTGCGACTGCTGCCGCGGTCGTCACCGACCACACCAGCCGCCGAGCCGCCCAGCAGCCGAGCACCCGAGCCGCCGAGCAGCCCTGCAGCCGAGCAGCCGAGCCGCCGAGCCGCCGAGCCGCCCAGCAGCCGACCGCCGAACCGCCCGGGCCGCCGAGTTGCCGAGCCGCCCGAGCCGCCCGAGCCGCCGAGTCGCCCGAGCCGCCCGAGCCGCCGAACCGCCCGAGCCGCCGTGTCGCCGACCCGCCGTCCTGCCGAGCCGCCGAGCCGCCCGAGCCGCCCTGTCCGGTAAGAGCAGCGCCTCTATCACTGCACTGCCCTTACCCTACTGTTCGCACTGCTAGTCTACTGCTGTCATGGCTACCCCTAGTGTCCTCGCCTTTGACGCTGAGGGTCGGGCCATTGACTTTGACGTCTGGGTAGATGACCTGCAGCTTTTCTTACAGTGCGATAGGGCAGACGGTCTCTCCCTCTTTGACCTCACCTCTGGTGCCTCTCCTGCCCCTGCTGCTGATGCCGACGCCATTGTTCGCTCACAGTGGGCCACACGCGATGCTGCTGCACGTCTAGCTGTGCGTCGCCACCTGCCTACCTCTGAGCGTGCGCACTTTAGCCAGTACAAGAGTGCTCACACCTTGTACGACGCTGTAGTTGCGCGCTACTCCTCCCCTGCCACTGCTGCACTGAGCCGCCTCATGCTACCGTACCTCTTCCCTGACCTTGCTGCCTTTCCCACAGTTGCTGACCTCATTACGCACCTCCGCACTAGTGACACTCGCTACCGCGCTGCGCTTCCTGCTGAGTTCTGCGCCAAGAACCCCCCCCCCATGTACATCACCCTCTACTACATAGTCACCCGGCTCCCTGACTCCCTTCGCGTAGTCAGGGACCACTTCCTCTCAGTTTGCCCCACCACTCTCACCGTTGACCTCCTCGAGAAGGCCCTCCTAGCAGCAGAGAAGAGCATAGTCGCTGTAGGAGCCTCTCGTGGTGACCCTCGCACCCCCGTCTTTGAGGGGTGTTCCCCCTCCCCCCTTTTGCCCTCTGTTGCCTCTGCTGCTGCGGCCGACCTCGTTGGTCTCGAGTCGGTCGGCGCTGCGTCTGCCCCGAGCGGGAGACGCCGCACCGGCAAGGGCAAGGGGGGCAAGGGTGTTGGAGGGGCTGGCGGGGGTGGCGGAGGTGGCGGTGGCGGCAGTGGAGGGGGTGGGGGTGGTGGTGGGAGTGGTGGCGGGGGTGGAGGTGTCGGTGGCGGCAGTGGAGGCGGAGGCGGCGGCGGCGGTGGCGGTGGGAGCGGAGGTGGCGGAGGTGGCGGCGGTGGAGGAGGCGGCGGCGGAGGAGGTGGAGCTGGTCGGGGTGGCGCTGGGCAGAGGGTCGGCTCCGGTGGTGGTCAGCGCCAGCAGCAGCAGCAGCAGCGGCAGCAGCGCACTCGTGACATCCCCCCCCCTCAGCAGCTCCGTGAGTGGTACGCTGCACGCCAGCGGGGTGGGGGTACTGGTCCGTGCACCTACGTCCTACGCACCGGCGACCGCGCGGGTGAGCCGTGCGGGGGTGCGCACTCCACCACGCGCTGCTTTGGCCGCCTGACGGACGCTTGGTGTCACCAGTTCCCTGAGGCCACTGAGATCCCCCGCTGGGGCGAGCTGTCTAGGGCGGGTGTAGCTGTCTTTGACCTTGACTTTGATGCTATTCTTGCTGCCATGTATGCTGTGACTATTAGTGATGAGGGTGACTGTTACCGGTGTTTTCCGCCCGACCCGGGCATTGAGACTGCTACTCTAGGTACTGGTGAGGCTGCTGCTCTAGGTGCTAGCGAGGCTGCTGCTCTAGGTGCTCGTGCGTCTGCTCACTCAGGTGCTGGTGAGTCTGCTCTCTCAGGTACTGCGTCGGCTTCGGCCTCCCACACCTTCACCCTTGACTCGGGGGCTTCTCGCTCCTTCTTTCGAGACCGCACCACACTCACGCCGCTTGGCCGGCCAGTTGCAGTCTCTCTGGCAGACCCCTCTGGGGGTCCTGTCCTTGCTCACTTCTCCACTGTCCTCCCGTGTCCGGCGGCCCCCTCTGGCACCCTGTCTGGTCTTTACCTCCCCTCGTTCTCTACGAACTTGGTGAGTGGTGCTGACCTACAGGATGCGGGGGTTCACCAGTTCACTCCTGCGAGTCAGCGGGTGTCGCCTCCTGTCGCACGAGACTCTCCTCTGGCACCACCGCCTTGGTCACCCCTCCCTGCTTCGTCTCCGAGGCATGGCCTCCCGTGTCCTTGTCTCTGGTCTTCCCCGGTCCCTCCCTCCCCTTCCTCCGGGGCCCGGCCCTACCTGCGTCCCTTGTGTCGAGGGGCGG